GAATGGTAGATAAGTGCTTGATTTATTTATTTGTGCTATTGTTTGGGCTCCTTAAGTTAAATAAGTTTCTGTCAGCGGACTTTGGTGAGGACAAGTAGTCATTGATGTTTTATGTTTGTTTTTTAATATTGGCACCCCTTAAGGAGCACTCCTGATGGGACCCTCAGATTTAGGCTATTTCTACAAAAAGAAGAAATGTTACTTACAAGCTCTCAGAGTACTTGGTACTTTTCATATAGACACAACGAGTTATTTCCTGTGGCTCACCCACTGCACTAGAAGTCTGTGAGGTCTTTGCAGACAGGGTCCTTTGCCATCACCAAAACATTTGTAGAGCTCGTGTTCCTAGGCTCTTAACAGGGTCTGCCAGCAACTTACAGTATGACTTTGAGCAAATTAATTATGCTTCTGGTGCCTCCGTTGGGCCATAATTCTGTTTACGTTGAAGAAATCCTTAGAGTTTATAGGAAAGTGTTTGTGAAAATAAGTATAAATCAAATGAGGAAAAAATGTGCATGGTTTCACTGTATTCTCTTGAAAGTAAAGTATTTCTTCATCATTTTTAATGATGGTGTCTTTGAATTTCCTTAAATAGACACCAGTATAAGCTAATTTCACCAAGTATAAATGTAAGGATATACACAGTTTGATGCTTTCATGACATTTATTATCTCATCTTTAATTTGCAATGTATTATAATATCATACAAGTTAAACAGTAATAGTAAAACAAACTAATCGTCATTAATTAAAGTGAATTAGATTTTGATTTTAATATATTTGATGTAGTGAGAACTGATAATGTGGAGGGTCCCAAAGGTTATTAGGGCATGTTTCTGTTAGGCCTGATGGTGTTAGTAATAATCCTCTTCCTCATAGTTCTAGACATGAACAAATATGTCACTTCATCAGTCTCTGTTACTCGTACTTATGCCCCTCCACAGGGGTTGCAGATTCCACAAGTTATCAGCTAATGGCGTTATACATTAAAAATTGAAGCTTTCCTCACTCTGAGGCCTTTCAAGGCTTTGTTCTTAAGCCCCAGACACTTTGGAGTGCAGCTGCAAACTATAGGCAGAAGATTAAATTAATTTGTAACTCTTTTTTTTTTTTGGCCCTGCATTACTAAATCCTCCACATTTAATTGAAACCCTACTTCAAGACGCTTTGTGTTTCTGTGTTCTTTGTTGTCAGTTTAACCTCCAAAGCACTTTAACACTGGTAAATTGCTGTTATATCCTTTGGATTGTTTTTAAACCATTCGGTAACAGAACAGTGAAATTGATACATGGGAAAAAAAGTAAAATCTTAGGGTAGATTTTGAGGTATTTAATATTTATTATGGCTCTTCACCAGCATAGTTTCAGATGATTTAAACTCTTTCTCTAGGACTGTGTAAATTGGTCTTGGGATGAAAACTCACCTAGGGAATTTTATGTAATCCAGTAGTTAAGTCTGATTTTTTAAAGTTTCCCTGTGTCTGAATGTTCCAAAGTGGCTGCTGCATTTCTATAAAATGAAGATTTAACTGCAGCGTACAATCTAAATGCAAAATCCTTAGATGGAAATGTAATTGTGTAAAATGTGCACAAGGTAATTAAGAACAAATTTTAGAACATTTCAGACTATAAACTTGTCCTTCAGCTAGAACACTGGCTATATTGAAAATGCTTATTTTCAATTTGCAGTTATGCCGAGAAACATAGAATATGTCTAAATTAAGAATAAAAAAATCCAGTGCTCTTCAGTAGAACAGTAAATTTAAAACCACTCCCACAGCATAGTTGATATTCTCAGTCGGAGACTATAGTTGATATTCTGAGTAGGAGACTCGATTACCAAAAACATGTCTTGAATTTTTTTGTCCTGCACTTGTTTTCTGGCTACAATGTTTGTTTTCTCTTTATCATTTATGATTTTATGACAATAATTATTTTTATTAACAAATGCCATTTTGTTGCTTTGTAAATAAATAACTTCTTTTTGTTGAAATACCAAGGTTTTTATCGTGTGATATGTTTGGCAGTTGTTATGACACACATACAAATATATTTGTTATTTAAATTATGAAATCCAACATATTCAAATGCTGCTAACTGAAAAGCATTTTATAGATTATGGTTGGACAAGTCAAGCGTCAATAAGATGACACTAAGGAACAGTCCTATTTTTAGAGTGAGATGTTAGTTGTTTACTGCTGTTTAAGTATATTCCCAACTGCTAAACACTTCAGATCATTCTTTTTCTGTCTTTTATGTTATAAACAAACATCCCACAACAAACAAAGTCTTCAGCAGTTTGCTAAATCTTAAGTATTTGGAATTAAAGTGTACTTTTAAATTTAACATTAAATAGAATTCCTCATCTCTACCTTTGCCCCCTGGCCTCAGACAAATAAAGCTTTTCCAAATCTTTTACGATATGAGCTTTTCTCCCCTCCTGGGAATGAAAAGGATATGAGACCCATTTGATGAATTGCTTGTACTTATGTGTGTCTACATTTTTCAGTATACTTTAAAAAAAAAAAAAAAAAACTAGACTTAAGCTGCCTATATTTAAATGCTGCTTTTGTAAAGATGATAAAGAGAGAGAAGATTTCTATTGGCTTAGCCCTAATCTATTTGCTTTGTTGCGATTCTTTTTTTTTCTTTCCTTTAACTGTTAACCTATTTATAAATCGAAATCTACATACAAAGGTCATTGGTTGGCTGAACTTAAACCATTTTACTCAGTAAATTTAATTAAGAAAATACAGTGCAACTCATAAGCAAATGAGTTTTTTCCTAGTTTTAAACCAAACCACCCTCTTGAGTGCTGATTGCCTTGCCCGACCCCTGGTGATACAGAAACAGGCAAAATTAAAAAGGACATTAAAGCTTCATTAAATCTGAAACACATTTAGTACAGTGACATATCTGCAGGCCATTTCAGAGAAGATTACATACTCTCTTTTGTAAGTTTCCTAATTTATAATACCTTGACAATAAAAACTGGGGAAATGCAAGTAGATTAATAGACCAGTAGGGGTAAAAGATACAGAATGGCCCCAGGTCAGCCTGTGTGTGAAATATGCACTTGGAGCATATGTACTTTCTCCTCCCCATAAGGATTCCATGTTTATTTTGACTTTTGACAGTCTCGTCGAGCACTTGTTGTTTTTTGTTTGTTTGTTTGTTTTTGTTTTGAGATAGGGTCTGACTCTGTTGCCCAGTCTGGAATGCAATGGCATGCTCAAGGCTCACTGCAGTCCCTACCTCCCCAGGCTCAGAAGATCCTCCCACCCCAGCCTCCCAAGTAGCTGGAACTACAGACATGTGCCACAACACCTGTCTTATTTTTGTAGAGAACTTTTTCTTCATGCAACCATATCTACTAAGAAACTGTTTTCTTTTTTACCTCCTCCCAATAGAACTTGTTAAAAAAAGTTCTAGAGCCTGGCTATATGTTTTCTTCTACTTTTCTGTAAGACAAATAGTGTAGAACATAAACACTATAGCTGCATTAGACCTAGAAGGATAGGGACATATATAGAAGGCAGGGGTCCTCTCCTGGGGCCTTAAAATGACTACTTTCAGTGCCAGCCTAATAGTGCCCTTGCCTGTTTTCACTGGCATAGATCCCCAAGTCTTTCAACAGCCCAATGGTGACCCTCTGTGAGAGAGGAAGTGATTGTCATCATGCTGCAATTGCAGCAGTACCTACTAGTTAAGATCTTCTAACTCTAAAGAGGTCAGACCTGTAAGATGTCTTAGAAGCAGTCCTCCCAGGAATATAGTTAAAAGGTAGGACTGAAGTTCCGCAAGATGTCAGGAAATAACACTGAAAGCAAAGCCAGACCTGTGAATGATGAGCTCACCAGTTCAAGCACTGCCACCTGTTCCCAAGCAGACTGGTACACAGAGGTTCCCAGCTGACCAAACTGCGCTAAGTTTTATCTCTGTTCTCATGCATGGCATTGTCTTACAGAACAAACAAATGACATCAGCCATCCGTTTTTACCTTGTACAGTCATGACAGAGAGGGCCAAGTGGGTGAATGCATATTCCCAAGTTGGCTGGAGCCTGGCCCCTGCATAGAACAATGACCGCCTAGAACTGGAAGTTTTGTGTTGAATTGAGAATTCATATTTTTTTTCTGTATCCCACTCCCTTTTAAGCCATCCATTTATTATTGCTTAATTCTTTAAATTGCAAGAGCCAGTGGTCATTGTTGGTACCTGCCAGCTAGTTTAGATTGTGACTGTATGTGTGGTGGGCAAGTTTCCTTTGTCTGTAAGCCATGTGGACAGCATTCTTCCATGGTCCCTAATGACCTGCTCAGCATATACCCAAGTGAATGGCACAATGCCTGTGGAAGGACTTGAGCCACAATATTCTAAGTGTTTTGTAGTCATAATTAAGCTATTAGCTTTTTTTAGGTGTGAGACTCTCCTCTTGCTGGTTTTCTAACTCCAAATGGCAGTATGCACAAAACTCATAAACCACAGATCACTGTGATGCCTGCAGACTGTTGCAAATGCCTAATTCACCCACCACAGTAGACCATAGTGATTCCTCCTGAATCAGCGTGCACACTCTGATTGGCCAGAAACAAACTGTATTTTCAAAATGTAGGGCAAACCTACAAACCTGTATTGTGAGGAGGTGGGGTAGGGACAGAGGATGGGAGAGCTGAGTCCCTGCCCTTTCCCTCCCAGTACGTAGACAACAAACATAATCACACAAAACTTCGAAAGGGAGTTTGGCAAACATCTATACTCTCTTTCACCCTATCTTGTGATGTTTTTATTGTGTACACTCGAAGAGATTAATGATATCCATCAAATGAAATGGTGATACTACAGCTCTATCTTCAAAATCCATACACGCATCAGTGTATATTTTGTGTACAAGATATGAGTACAAGGTAATGAAACCTAGGTATTCTAAAACATACATATATACACAAACACACAGGCATATGTGCAAATGAGTGTTGGCCTTTTCAAAGTAGTCACCATACAAGGTCATAATGTCTATTCCTGTTATATTGCTGTTGTTCATATTGGTTTTAGAACTTTGATAACTTCAGCATCTTTATGTCTAAGCAACAAAATATTTAGTTTTTGTAGGTTGCTTTGGTTTTGGTAATATCCATAGGCTATTCAAACCTTAGTCTACAAATCATTTTTATGATGAGGAAGCTGAGGGGTATAATTTTAAATCCAAGATAAGATGCAATACTAATAAACTGAACTAGGTATTCTGTTAACTGAAAGGATTCTAAAACAGCTACAAAAGGGGAATTCAGAAATGCTTGAGCAGTGTTAGTGTCTTTGAAATGAGTGCAGAACTTCTCAAGATCTAGAAAGGCAGTGTAATATGCTGGAAGGAACACTGGATTAAGTTGTAAATCTTGGGGTCAGTTCCTAGGCTTCCACTTGTTAACTGTTTGGGAGCTACTTCAATGGGACTCTGGGTTTGAATCTGTGAAGTGGGTTGATACTCTGTTAGATCCATTAGTTTTAAAATCCCTGATCTTGTCATTCTGTTTTGAAAGTAGTTACAAATACATGTAAATGATGTCAGAACTGAGGATGGGCCACATTATAAAATTGCAAAGTTTTGTCACTATTTTCTTTAAATAAGTTTTGGTACGTTTGTTAAATTTTATTTTTTGGTCAGCTTCAATGGCTCACACCTATAATCCCAGCACTTTGGGAGGCCAAGGCAGGGGATCACTTGAGGTCAGGAGTTCGAGACCAGCCTGGCCAACATGGTGGAACCCCCATCGCTACTAAAAATACAAAAATAAGCTGGGTGGTGTGCGCCTGTAATCCCAGCTACTCGGGAGGCTGAGACAGAAGAATCACTTGAACCCAGTAGGCTGAGGTTTCAGTGAGCCAAGATCACGCCACTGCACTCCAGTCTGGGTGACAGAGTGAGACTCCATCTCAACAAAACGGTTTATATATTTTTGCTTTATATCAAGCCTATTGCTGGTTGGATCATTTTGTTTTTACAGTGAGGGTTCAAAGATCAAAATTAAGTGACCGGCCCAGAAACAGAGCTGTTTACAAATCAAGCTAGATTGGAAGCTATCAGACTTAGACCTACAGTTCTGACTTCACAACCTTCAAGTGGCTGTTTTCCCACTGGTGGGTAGAAAATGGGTGAAAAAACTTTAACAAATGGATAAAAATAATGGTGCAGTTTTCAATTTCATAATAATGTCCATTCCCCACTCCCTACAACCCTTCATTTATACTTGTAACTGAAAATGTTGTGGCCTACTAATAATTAGATGTTCCCATTTTACAAGACGAAAAGCAGAGAGTTTTTACATCTCTGTCTAGCAGAAACTGTCGCACACATGTAAATGTGAATAATGCCCATGCAGCCAAGAATATTACTAAGGGAAACCACATAAGGATAATGTTTTGTTATTAAAATATTTTATCAGGGATGCAACATCATCCATTGAAAATGTCCATTCTAAATACAGCTCTTAATGTAATTACAGCCATAATTTAGCTTGTACATTTGAGGTTGTGAGCTTTTTTATATTTGCTAGATACAGTTCTGAAATTTAGTACTTGTCTGTCTTAAGGAGATCTGCCCTGCATGCAAATCTATAACTAGACAAATATTATTTCCTTTCCCAGCTTGCTCTTGGGAGGTTTCCATATCCTCAGGTAAGATTGTTCATTACTGCTGTTTGCCACTGTGACATTCATTCCTATGTATGAAGGTGCAGGGAGCAATTGTGAACATTTGAGCCACATACAAATAAATCTGTCCTGTTAAATTGAAAAGTGATATCTTAAAGGAGTCATTTAGAAGTCTGTATTGATTTTTGATTTTTTTAAACTCCTGATTTTTTTCTTCTTTGTTAAAGGTTGAGAGTGATCATTGTGCTTTTCCTTTGTGTGACATTCAGGATTATTTTTTTTTTCCTGGCCGACACCATGTACACATTTTGAGGATGGAGGAGAGAGCCAGCCTTTTCTTGATACACTTTTTAAGCTCTTAAATTCACTTAAAATTTTTTGAGTTAAAAGAATAAGACAGAGGGTAAAAGCATCTAATCTAGGTCATTATTTGCTAGGCAAATAGATGGGCTTCCAATTTTATGAGTATAATTTTGAACATATTCTTTAAAAATATTTTGCTCCTTCCTGTCTACATTTCTAAGAAAACAAAATGGTTCATTATACTAGTATTGCTGACTCCAATCTTTATTAAAATTTCTTTAAGATTTTTATTATAGAAGCGTACTAGCACTTAAAACATAAAGCTGTTTTGTCGTTTGAAAATGATTCCCCAGTGTGTGGAGAGAAATAAGTGAAATGTCTAGAGGGATGAAAAATGAATGGTTTGACTGTTTCCTCTGGTTGATGTTCACTGTTTTTCTGGCATCTTGGTCTGTACAGGCCAAAGTGCCTGGAGGCATGTCTGATTTAAAGGTGGTGTTGGTCTCTGCTCTTTAAGCATCTATTAACTTGCTATTATTATGCAAATAAGTGTTGTATTACACATACTAATTTATGCATGGTTAGATTATGCAGATGCATCACAAACATGGTTATTGAATAATAGGATGGGGCTCATTCTCTCTACCATCTTTATAAGCAGTTTTAAGCAAATTCTCCTGGTACCCATGTGGACATTTAAAGACCTTACTCAATGAAATGTCTCTTTTGTATTTTGCTTTCATAGTTAAAGCCATCAGATAAGTGGGAGAGAAATCGTCCAAGTTGTTAGGTTCAAGAGTGTTAGTCTCACTTTTGAAATTCGTAGACTTTTTTGTTTAAATGTAATCTTTTCCTTACAGAAGAAATCTAAAATGCAGTTGCTTGGCACGCGTGCTAGCAGTTAGTGAGATTTTAGTGTGTATAGCCTTGCTGCTTAGCTCTAGGTAGCTCATCAAATTAAAATCACATTTTCAGGATTTATAGCTCATTAGAATATTTATCTTGGTCAGCTTCTTAGGCTGTCAGTAATTTTTAAACAATTCAGTTTGGCCAATTTGTGAAATCCCCTAAAATTTTGAAAATGAACACACAAACCCTATGCAATATATTTCTCAAACAAATATAGAAAACTTATAAGCCATCTAGTAAAAGTTGCAAAGGTTGAGATTGTAGTGATATTCTTGAGATTCAGCCTAATATCTAGAGTAATTAATCAGTGAGATTTGATGGGTGATGTGTCTAAGAAATGGATTGCCATCGCATTTGACAAGTGAAGCTCATGAAGGGTGTGGTCGAATTTGAGAAGAGGCTATTTACCTTTGTAGTATGGTTTTCCTGAATATCTAAATATATCTTTATTTGATCAGTCAGGTGGAAGTTGGAAAATTCTAATACTATGCTCAACTCCCTAGTTGGCAACAACCTTTATGCCAGCATGGGGGGAAAACACAACTGTATTTCTTGAATCATGGTAGATAAAAGCAGCTTTGATGCCATTAGGCCTATTTCCCAAGTCTTTCAACAGAAGTTTGGGTGCATCGTTGCTAGAACCACTAATGACTTTTGGTGCAGTTGGCATGTGTTTTACAGGCTTGTACTATAAGCTGAAGATTGGGAAAGGAAACTTTATAAATGCCTTTCCTGCCCCTCCTTTTTGCCCTCAAACAAAGTACATGAAGAAAAATGTTTTGTTTTTGTTTTTTGTTTTTTTTTGAGACGGAGTTTCGCTTTTGTTACCCAGGCTGGAGTGCAATGGCGCAATCTCGGCTCACCGCAACCTCCGCCTCCTGGGTTCAGGCAATTCTCCTGCCTCAGCCTCCTGAGTAGCTGGGATTACAGGCACGCGCCACCATGCCCAGCTAATTTTTTGTAGTTTTAGTAGAGACGGGGTTTCACCGTGTTAACCAGGATGGTCTTGATCTCTTGACCTCGTGATCCACCCGCCTCGGCCTCCCAAAGTGCTGGGATTACAGGCGTGAGCCACCGCGCTCGGCCAGAAAAATGTATATTTTTATAGTGTCACAGAGGCTGAGTTATGAAAAAACATTCTGTTTGGCCCACATTATGTCATTTGAACTCCTACCCACTCTGTGAAATAGCCTCCCCTCATAAATTGGACAAACAGAATGGCTGAGCTGCTCACTGTTAAACTGTGTCTGGTTTGGTTTCTTTGACTCCCAAGTGGAGTAGGCAGGAGTGAATCATAGACTATCAGAGTTAGAAGGATCTTAGACATCATCAAATCAAACTTCTCTACAATGTCTTCGAAAAACAAACAGCCACACTGCTTGAACACCTCCAGTGACAAGAAACTCACTGCCTTAGAAAGCATCCATAGGGTCAAAGCAATGTTCTATTTCTGAAGTTGAGAACTGCCTCATCCTAAGTATCACTCACTAGTCTGGTCCTAGAAACATGAAAGCCTTTCATATATCCTTAAGATCACATTCATTTGATTGTTCCTAGGGCTAAGGACAGTGCCAGGGAATTTCTGCTGTGAACCCAAAGTCTAATCAGAGCGTTAGACCTGAGCTCTTTTCACTAGTGGCAAACTGAGAGGAGTGGCCTATTGGAAGGAGCTCTGGACCAGGAGCCAGAAAATTAAATTAGGTGTGACCACAAGCTCACCACAGGCCTTAATTGTTGCTTTCTAACTCTGAGGTGTCAGTTTCCTCATCTCTAACATGAGGATTCTAATGCCTACCTTTCCTCTGTGATTAAAGGAGGTATGCTGATCAAATGAGACTATGGATATGAAATTACTCTGAAAAGTACAAAGGGCCACCTGCCTGGATCTAATGTTGGGCTGCAGCACAAAGCAGAATTTCCCAACTATCATTCATAGGTTGTAAAATAATGTTCTTAGCAACATGCCAGCCACAACTGGAGCAGAGTATAAAATGAGCAGAGGGTAAAGCTGGGAGGAGGGGCCAGCTTCAAGACTTGTCTTTCCCCCAGCTCAGCACCAGTGCTGCTGACAGCGTCATTAGCAGCCCCTCTCCCTGCTGGTGACACAGTATGTATCCGGTGGGGGCTCAGAGAGGGAGGAGTGTTGGGGAGATACTAGGAACAGTCAGTGCCCTGGGAGCAACATAAAGGTTAAAGGGCCAGGTTTTTGCTGAGATAGCCATTCTATATGAGTTGCATTGCTTTGTGGGTCAGGTGTTTGTTATCTGAAACATAGTCTATTTTAGTTTCCTTTAGGCCATAGTGTTGCATAACTTCATTGGCATGCAGTGTAGGGTTCTAAAGAAAAAAAAAAAAGATTGGGAGCACAGCCTTAGTATGTACTACTGCCTATAATAGGAAAAGCAATGGTGTCTTGGCTTCACCTAGCACCCTTCCCACCCAGGGCTCCAGACTCAGACTGTTAACCTGCCTCAGACTGTGCATTCTACCTGCAGGGACTTACTTCCAGCCTCTGGGTGAGCCATCTCAGGCTCAGAGAGGCAAAGTACCTTGCCTTAGGCAGGCATGGGTACAGTTAGGTCTAGGACTTGCAGGAAATAAGCCAACTGACTAGCTCTTTAACCTCTTAATTCATTTGGCTAATCATACCCTTGTTTTCCTTTTCACTCTGCCCCACCACCCTTCTCCTAGTTTACCTTCTCTGCCCTAAGGAGGCCTCTTCTGTAGATGAGAAATGCTAAAGAGCATTAGAGGTTTGTGCCATTGTAGATGGTGACAAGACCGTTCCCCAGATTCCTCTTGCTTTTCTTACCATGTATTTAGCAAAGTAATGGGAGATCCAGAGGGCCCCAGAGCCCTCACTGACCCCAGTGCCGTTAAATTCTGGGTGCTTGTGAAGCATATTCTGCAATAGGATAATGAAAAATTGCATTTTTAAATATCTTGGAAACAAGTTTCTCAATTTCTGGAACAATTTAGCTTTAATAGTAATCTGGAAAGATGTGAAGGTCTAGACAAGGATTGGAGCTGCCTATAGTTAATCATGTAGATCCAAATTCAGTTGACTTAAAAACATAATGGTGGGCAATGATTTGTTTAATGACACCATAATTTAGGAGAAATGAAAAGGATTGCCTGCTAAAAACTGTCATCCTTCATTCAAACTTTACAACAGTGCCCTGCATTAGGATGATAGCAAATCCATTAAGGAGACTTCTCAGGGGATGCATCAGCTCTGGCATTGGAAAATTTGGCAAGCAAGATGCCACAGGAAAGTGAAGATAATACAGACACAAATGTATTTAAAGTACTTTTGCATGTATAAAAATACTGTTTTCCTTTTGGCTACAATTCCTGATCTTGGTTAATAAATTACATCAAAATGACCTGAAGTTAAAAAAAGGGAAAAAATCTGAGCAAATAGTGCCCCTGGTATTGTAAAGCTTTGAATGTTTTCACACCCCATTAATTTATTACTTCTCTTTCTTCATCTTTAAATTTCATTTTTTTTTTTCAAAAATTCTGACTCCCTGCTGCTGCAGTGATTTTCATCTTGTTGTTAATTTTCCCTGCTCCATATGGAGCTCCAGACATTTCACCTGGAGGCTGTACTAGATTTTGCTGTAGTGATCGTACTTCCGGAGGCCAAAACTGTCATTTAGGGTTCCTGGTGCATCTGTCTGCGCCAGGCTTTTCACTGGCATGGGAGAGTGTGAATAACAAATTGGATGCACCTGAGATTCGGATGATTAGTGTGTTTTGTGAGTCTCCACGACTTGTAAGCAGATAGCTCTGTGGGGAGGGGGGCTCAA